GGTCTAGTTGGACCGAATTTGAACAAAATTAGCGAACTACACTTATTCGCGAAAAATTGATATTGCGAGAGACTCACCGGGAATCCCACTGAATTTCCGGTTTATGGTGTTTCAGTTGATACGATATTTGCGATATGGCGATACAACATAAACGTAGGGCACTACTCATAATGTTACTGGAAATCCTTCGACAGCCAAACACCGGTTTTGCCGTTTTTGGGGATCGGAAACGTCCGTTGTAAAGCATTCCTAACTTGCTGGGTGCACTGAATATTACACTTTCACTAACGGTACATATAGTATCAACAACTTATTGATATGAAATTTTATAGGCTAGATTAGTTAATTTTAAGTCATAGTAGACATTTCTTGGTAGTCTTGCTTAAGAGAGGTTGAACTAGGAGTTTTTGTACACCGCCGTTGAAAGCAATAGCCTCCAAATGGAAAGTGTGGTTGATGGATAAAGCCCCAAACCTTCTGCTGGACCAGTTTCTCCATGGGGCAATGGGAAATAAATAATAATTAGCAGGGAAAAATGTTACTGACACATCTCAAATGTGTCTTGTGAGATGTCTGAGTTCACATTTACTTTACTCTCATCTAAATTGTCCCTATTCCGTCCAGACGTATTTATACTGGTGGGTCCATACCAAGGTAGAAAGCACGGGACTCATGTTTAATTTTTATTAGAGTTCATTAGGTGCACGTTTGAACTCGGGACGTACAAGGAGAGCGTGCTGCGATCGCTCAACCCGCAGACATTTGAATAACCAGAATTGCCACGTCTGAGTTAGTTGTAGAGGGAGTTCTTAAAGACGAGTCTCATAAATAATAAAATATACCATGTTAGCTGTAGGTTATTGATATCAACGAGATATCCAAACCAAGAACGCCAAGTCATGTGACAGTTAAATTGCCGTAGACAGCTAGGGGGTAATTAGCAATGACAGCCCTGTCGCATCAATTGTAGGAAAATATTCGGCCTTTCAAAATGTAGGCAGCGATAATAATCAAGTTTGTAAATTTAACCAGTAAATACTGAATGCAAGTTGCTGATGTTTTTCGTAGTTCTGTCGTTTGCAAACGCAAAAGATTAATTATTAGAAAACATGCAATAGGTGGCCACAGAGGCGCAACAAATGTTTGTGAAGGGGAGCGTCAGGGGTAAATTAGTTTGTTAATTTCAAGCAGATAAGTTTGCCCAGAAAGTTTTGGCTGCTTCAACAAAAACTCAGATTCCCGACTTTTGACTCCAACTTGAAAGCGCAAAGAATGTAGGCAGTGTGATTTGTTTTGGCGATGTGTGACACAGCTGATGCTACCAATTTTTTGTCATGTACTGGTTCCAATAAGTCTGCCACACGGACCATCCCACAACCTGTGCATCTAAGTGCAGTGGATCCATCTGCAAACGCTTTGTTTGAAAAGGATAAATATAATAGAAAAATGTGAGCCACTCGTTGGACGCGGTAGTCCAATTGGTTCTATTTGTTTGCTCTAGCAGGGCATCAGGCCTATGTAGTAAGGGCGATTGTTTTGATGCCATTTGTTATGTGAATAGTCTGGGTGTAGAGTGCTGTACAAGGCAACCGATCCTCTTGCATGACCTGTGGAATGTGACCACCTGATCTAATGAGGGAGAATGGACTTTCCATAAAACCGTCTGACGTATTTAGACAATATTGACCTTGTATTCCCAACATATTCGCGCAGTGCTTCGGAGGCACAGATGGTCAGACATAGTCTCCAAATGTCTTCTGTATGCAGCGGCTATGCCTCTGATCCATAAAGTAGGACAGATTAGACGGTGGCATTACAAACTATACGCACGAGAGTCAAACATATATCAAATCGGCACCACAAATGTCGTTGGTAAGCAAATGGTACCAAATGGTCCAACAAAACTGGAAGGCGATCTCGTCTTTCGTCAGAAGACCAAGAAGTATTCAGCTGCCCAGTTAAAAACCCACCTACCGTACTGATCGGCTCACCTGCAGCAGCACTTTAAGTATCCCAAATTACACGGCATAAATATTAGTTATTTAACATAGCTTGCATTTCCAAATACTGTGGTGCGACAAGAGTGGATTGTCGGCGTTCTTGAGTGGAGGCTCCGGGGAAATTTCTATGCCTGAGGTGTTAGGAGCCGTTAATGGGGATTCCAGGTAGCATATTGATAAAGAATTTAANACCTCAGTGACCCTCTTGCCTAACACCACGTTACGTGGTGAACTCACGGGAGAATTTGCCACAGACACTTAGGAGTCCGAGGTGAAATGAACATAGAGGACCAATAAGACAAATAATTGGAAGTGACTCTCTTCCTCGCCGGATACTGCCTGCGTTTCTGATGATCAATGGGGCTAAGAACAGATCTGAGATCAAAAAGTGCGACCATCGTTAGTCGTCGGAAGGAGTAACGATCCAAGCACTTCCCGGCTCTGGCGAAACAACTTGTTTCTCGCTGTTCTGACTTTCCCGAAGAAGGGTCCGCTCGAGTGGGTAATACCATAAAATGCCTTGGAAGCTACAGCCACCTGGCTGATGCCCCGGTGATTTCCGCACAATATTCTTGTGCCCTTTTTGACCTACGGAAATACCGCCGAGGCATTCCAACATGCTGGAACTTTTATCTTATTCCAAACTTTTTGGAGAAGGCAGTTAGTTCGAACAGCCTAGGCTGCAAATCATCTACTTTATGGGCTTTGTTGCGCCAAAGCAATGAGATTGTACACTGAACTCGTTTTGATAATGATGATTTTAAGGCTATGAGTATGGCCACTTTCGACTCCCTTCAACCATCAGCCAAGACTGGTTTCATTAGGACTCAATTTATATGTAGACTTATATCACCTGCAAGAATCACGATATCTGTACTTCTTGCTGACCGGAGTAACCGTGAAAATGTAAGTAGAAGCTATCTGTGTCATTTTCAGAGCTGCGCGCATGCTGATACAGCAAAAATCATTAACTGCATCCAGATGCATTGACTGGTTGACCGAACAGCACAAAGACGATTATTTGTGGTATCCAGTTCACTAAGAAGCATTCAGCCTCAAGGTTAGGCACAAATCGCACACTGACGTTGAGCTGGGATCACCAGAAACCCGGAGAGTAAATTTCGGGGAGTCTGAATTCACACGAATTACTTCGAGATATATGACCAAGATTGAATCCTCCATCTGTTTTTGAGACAGCAAAAATTGATCGAAAGAAAAAAGGTATGGGCAAGAACTACCAGGCCACCTGCCACACATTTTCACATGGATTACGGAAGCTAAGAGAAACAATGTAAAACGGATCGCTTAAATAATAGCTTATTTTGATTTATATTTCCAGGCGGAAGCTTAGGTGATCAACATCCAACCGAATTATAGGAACTTGCTGAGGGATGTGCGAGGGGTGGTCGTTGAATAAGCAGCTGTGAGGGTGAACGATATTTCTCGGTTGTCCAGGCAGACAAAATGGTGTTTCTGGAGCACTGACCTTGAGTATGACACACAAGGCAGTGGTTAACCTTTCCTGGCCTTTGACTCAAGGGTCTGAACCGTTGGAAAGCAGGCATCAGGGCTTCCTCGAGCGATCCTTCGAGGAGCCGGTGATTCAATAGTCTGGCCTGGTTCGGGAGCTCAATAAGACATAAATTTCTAATTCCTAATGCGCCTGCACACAGCAGGTCATTTCTGAGATATACCAGATTCTTTGGTTCCAAAAGTACTCAGACCATACTGAATAACGCACCGGGGTCATGTTTAACCGTTGGGCCACTGGCCGACCTCTTCCACCGCGATCTTCCTCGGGGAAGTGATGCACTGCTGTTCCAATAAATATGAGCGCAGTGGAAGGAAACAGTTTACTGCATTCTCATCCCTATAGCATGACTTTTACTCCTTACCATATAGTTTCTCGAACTACAGGGACTTGCTGCTCATAATCGAAATGTTTCCAGCTAGCTTACCTGTTGTGTTTGAGTCTGAGTTCCAGCCTGTGGGTCCCGCAAGACCTCGGAGCTTTAGGTTGGATTTTATTAGGTGTCTTGTTACTTGTTTGGCCATTTAATTAGAAGATATCTGTCGGCTCCACTACCCTAGGCAACACTATCGTCGCATTAGTTCGGGTAAATGAAGGATGGAGTTTTTGCATAATATTGTTGCCACGAATTGACCAGACAAGTCATACGAACGCAAAATTTGAGACCGACAAAGGCCATCGTTTGAAACTGTTGGGGATTGTACATCAATCGTAACTCCTCCGTGTTTGGGACAAGAAATCAATACAACAAAATTTTACGTGCCACTTCACTAAGTTCGCATCTTTTTCACTGCTTATCTCAATGTTGTTTTTATTCAAGCCTCGTTCATAGGATTGCGGGAGGAGGCTAATGAATTGTAACTGCTAGTCACTCCTGGGGGAATAGAAGTAAATCATCTCAAAGAAAACTGTTTATATTATTGTAAGATACGAGGCTAGTCCCCCTGAGGAGAGAAGAGTTGATAATACCGTTTTTTCTCAGCCATAACTCACACTGACGTCTCTCACGGTATTCTTATTCACCGAATGAAGTTGATTTCTTCCGTTTTCCTAGAATATCACGTTTCACACAGTCACAATTTTACATAGTCCTGATTCAAGTAAGCGGTTTTCACAGGGGTACTGCCAATACGAGCCAGCCACAAAGGAGAACAAATTTGAAACATTTGTCGAATATCAGCACCAAGAGATGCCATTGCTGGATAGCAAGTTTAATGTATCCTGTTCCCAATATTTGTCATGCTTACGGAACATCCACTAACAGCGTCACAAATGATTATGTTAGGCTAAAGACTAATGGACCAGCAAAGCCTTTTTACCTGCCTTTATCGCCCAGCGTTTGATGATGCTGAGTGACCATAATCCTGTACAGTAAGTGTAACGTGATCTTTCCAAGTTGCAACTGAAAGGACTGTGACAAGAATAATGTGATCTGAGTGAGTCTAATCCGTTTGCTGACCATTTTTCAGGTTACGTCAGATCTATCCCGAACTGGCCACGCTATTCCATTCAAGGTGATGCACGGCTTGGTAATCACGATTTGTTAATCCGCAACGTAACCAAATCGGATGCCGGGTCATTTGAATGTCAAGTTTCTCCTGCTGATGGGCATCCACCACTGCGTAGGCAAACCACATTATCCATCCTGAGTGAGTAAAATTTAGTTTCCTTCACGTTCATATCTCATCCAGTTGCTCTCAAACTTATATCTTTCTTTTACTCTCCCGCTCGTGGCTTCTTATTGGTGACGTGAAAGAAGGAGTTGTAGAAGTTTACTAAAGCGAATCATGTCACGTCCTCAACAACAACTTTGATCACAACATCATCCCGTCCAGCTGAACTGCTTCAGGGATCTATAACTAATGAAGACCATTGCTTATAAAGTCAGCGGATCAAAAACACATGGTTGTTGAGTGCTGTGAATGATGAACGCAGCTGTGACCATATTGGTTGAATTTCACTTTCGAAAACACCTAGTGCCTTTCACACAATGCAAATACTGGGTGCCCTCGAAAGTCTGCAGTCAAAATTTTATTTGATTAGTGTAGAAACACCTGATTATGTTTGTGGTAACATGGAATGTGAAAAGTTAATCCGTGCTCCAGCCGAAAATGGGTCATTCTACACATCTGCACGTTCCATTACATATTTGAAATGTGTTTGACCATGTGCCTTGGTCATGTTGGCAAAATAATTTACCAGCTTTCAAGAAAAAAAAACAATTATCATTGTTGCTGACAGTATTATTATCAATCATTGACTGACAACCAGTTAAAGTAGCCATAGGTTGGTTTTATTTATTAGAGGAATTCCATAATACCCAGGATTCTAGTGTCATGCGGCGCCCTTCTTTCACAGAAAACACGAAAAAAGCCTTTCATAATAGAATGCCTCTAGGATGTGTGATACACAGGGCCGCAAATATATTGTTTGTGTCCTTTCGTTAGTAATTTATCAGTGTGTAATATTGGGTTCCTTATTAGAAATCGCCCCCGTTTTGTAATTGTAAGTGTGGTCTCTAGACTTTGGAGTCAATCCATTGCGGTACGCGAGAGATTACGTAGCATGCCAACCGGAGACTGCAAGAGATCTCACGTATTACCGCCACACTTTGATGTTTATGTACTTGTGTACACAGCAAATGGTAACTTCGTTATTCTGATTGTTCTATTCGGAAAATTGGAGATTGCGATATCAACAATACAAATATATCCGGCAGACGTTTAATCGTACGCGGACCACACTTTGAACGATTCGCTAGTACTGTATCCGTATGTTTAAGACAGAACATGATCAGCCAAGTTAGAGAAGCCTTGATATTAATCAATGATGTTTTGCTATTGATGACGATGATGGTGATGATGATGATGATGATGATGATGATGATGATGATGATGATGATGATGATGATGATGATGATGATGATGATGATGATGATGATGATGATATGACCGATTCGGTATGGTAACCTCCCAAATGTTAGTCGTTTGTTGAACTGATCATCTAATTTAGATTTTCCCCTACTGACGGCCATCACATTGAAAACCTAGTGCACAATGCAGGACCCGTTTGTGGAATCTGGAAGGTCTTTCTTCGGGATGCTGTGTAGTTCATCACCACATTTATGGAAATCTACCTTTTTTAAACCAATACATGAAACTTGATGGACTTGTTTTTTTCATTGAACAAGTGCGCCGTTATCTATGGAGGTTTTATATACAGACCACTTAAGGCGTCCCGCTTTACGTATATATCCATGTCTACCTGCAGTGTTTAAATCTCATAGAAGAGAACGTCTGGGGAAGTTCCAGGTGGCTATTAAAATTTAATACGCCTTTTTGGAGGGCCAACCAGTAAGAACTATGTTTTTTGCCTCCTGATGCCTTAAATATCATCTGTGAGTGGCCCTCAGAAGCCTTCGCTTGCATTTCACGAGTGTCCAAGGAATGTATCTCCTCTAAATGTGCGTGACACTGAGGACTTGTGAAAAGGCCATGAAAAACGGCAAGCCTCATTGGCTTGACTTACGCAGTATACATAATAGAGCACATTCAATCGAAATTGGAGGCTTAGTTTACTGAGAAGCAGACCCTTGGCTCGTGCACCAGGTGCCCAAAAAACCGAATCAAATCGGCCAGATCATGCAAACTTTCAATTGCTCTAATCGTTTAACTCCCAGAGTTCGAACTTTGTGCTCAAAGAATATCTGTTTGAGCCCCCTACCCAGCTAAACTAACCCAGAATTTTCTATCTCCACCTCCTTTTTATGGGCCACTTCACTTCGTCAATATTTATTCGGAAGATGAGAGAAAAAACGGTTGACTACAATTACCATACTGTGAACTACCGATTTTCATACAAGAACTTTAAGATGCTCTTTGGAAAGTTGGAAGGTCGACAGTACGGAAAACAAATTTCGAAACTGCCTAAAATGTATAAGCTATTTCAAACCATGCATGAAATGTTTTGATGTCGATTGCTTTTGGGCCTATACGCCACACAAATTTTAACAGTACGCTTAAGATGCAACAGCAGGCAATGAAGTCCTAAAATATTACTGAAAAGTTTTAAATTTTTGAATGCCGCGGAATCCTGTAAACTTCACAGTCTGTCTCTTTAACGACAACCGAGATTCGCACCCTTGCGCCGAGCAACTGCGGAGAACAAGTTTGATAAAAATAGAATTTTCACTAAACCGGAACTCATTCGCGGTAAAACAGCACGCAGTTTTAGCTACTTTGGTCTCTTTAAAACAGCATTGCAGTGGCAAAAGAACATTAGATTGCGATCGGAGACCCAACGTTCCTCTCCGAAACTGTTTGTATAGCGCCTAACTACACAATGTTTTTTAGTTCAAGAACAGCTCGACAAAGTTCATTCTGGTGCGGTAAAAATGATTGACAATCTGTGTCAGCCCCCAAGCCAGGATGCGGTTTAGAAACTAGAATTAGACACAAAGTGACACAACCAAACCAGAATCGACAACGTTCCATTATATAGAACACGCTTACACACTACACTTTCCATGGTGTCACGGGGATTCAACTTCACCCTCATTTATCTGGCCTGTAGGACGTCACAAAAACCGCTTTTACCACAATTTCAAAGCTTCGGATATTTTTATTATCGCACGTTCTCTTTATTGCGAAACACGAGGATACAATTAGCCAACCTACACAATATGTCCGGTTCACGTGTCTTGAGAGTATGACTCTCTTATCACACAAAAATGTTTTCTTCTCTACTTCAGTCAAGCCTTCGCAGCCGGTTGTTATCGCTCCATCCGGCGAGCCCCAACCACTTCCTAACGGTCAGCTGATTGTACCGCGACATGCGATCAATTCTAGCACCAGCTCTGAAATGCAAAATTATCTGAGATTAATCTGCGAATCCCATGGAGGTGTACCACCACCAACCTTTGAATGGTTCCACAACGGTATTTCGGTGAAACCGGAAAGAGCGGACGACCCAGAGGAGCAAGACGGAATGCCTGTTGGTGGTCAAAGTAGAACCGGTTCCAAGGAAATACACTCGGTGTCAGTGATACTGCTTCGCGACAAGTTGCAAACAGGAGATCGCATAGTGTGTCTGGTCAGTAACAAAGCAACACTACGATCGAAATTGTTGTCACATCAAAAAATGCGCTCTGAACTGATTGTTGTAATACACTGTGAGTCTCCAAAATTGTCAATTCAAACGAGATTTTTAGTTTCAAATGCGTCATGTGTTGTAGTGTGACCTCTGAAATTTTCGGACTGTTTGTGAGCTCAGTAAGGTTGACACTTCTGTCTAGCTGATGCTTCGTCAAAGTTTTACAACAAAAATAATACTAAAGTCTCAAAGATTTTTAAGTGAGCTATTCAAGAATAAGATTTATTCCGACCAGGCTACTTCAGGGATGAAACATTGCTACTTGTTATATTTCTGATAATCTTTGCTGAAATTTAGTAACCTGAGATACCAAACCAAAGATATGTTATCGTAACATCCATCCAGGATAAATTGCGAAACCAGCAAATACAGTGGAAACCCTCTCTGAAATTTGGCAAGCTTAAAAATAAAACAAAGTCTTTATGGATTTTGTGTTTGAGATCACTACGACAGTCTTGTGTCCTTTTGATATGATAAGCTTGCATTTACGAGGAAAGCACTCACAAATAGACGTTTGCGTAAAACGTTCGTGTGTCGTATTTACTCACTTTACTCAAAGATAGCATCGAGATCAATAAAAAGCAGTGTATTTTTAGGAACGGAATGGTTTCATTAGGCGTTGCTGGCAATAGATAATATCCACAAAGTATATCCGTCGTACACTGGGCACAGTTTTGACTTTTATGTTTTCGTTTGCATGGCCCAAAGTGTGAGGTAGGTAGCATGTGGCCCTTTAAATTTGTAGGTAATTTCAGGCCCGGAATCTCCTTGTACCCCCTGCGTTTAACTGCGAGCATTGTAACAGATGGTAGATAACCAAAGTCATTCGTATTTATGTACTCGTTTCCACACAGATCGTCTTCATGCGCAAGCTAGAATGATTATGGTATGCTTAAACCATGATTATGCTGACGGTAGCACCCAAGTCCTGATAAGCCGTTTATTTTGAAGCACATAGAGCCTCAGAATTTGGCGTTTTGTACGATAGATTAACAGCAAAAGTCTTTTATTAATCAAGAGAAACCTCAGTACAATCGAACCGCAAACGTCCCTGAGAAAACCTTCATTGACGTCTTGAGCAACATTGCCAACAAATACAAATATTACTTTTCGGAAAAACTATCTGAGAGGCCCTGCTTTCTTTAAGTTAAATAATAGCGTCCCGAAAGTTTCTTAACGGGAGTTGCACTACTGTCAACCTTGGGAAAGTTTCGTCCAGCTGTGGTTGCGACCCGCTAACTCCTTTCAAACGTTTTCTGTCGGAGATGTTACATCCTTAAGTTTAGTACAAACCCTTGGTTAAAGTTTTTTTGGGGCTGTTAAGTTTCCTTCAGGAATTCCTTGAAAAATTACTTACTGTGACTGGGTGAAATCTCAAAATCACACACAGGTTGGTATAACTATCAAAGATTTGCACTCCACAACATGCGTTAATGAATAGAAAAACGTTTGCGTATGATCTGCTGGCCGAAGAATAAAGAATAAATAAAGAATAAGTAAATGTTGAGCTAAAGTGAGTCTCTGCTTAGACCATTATTCTGGTCTGGTAAGCTGATCTGTTATTCTCAGACTAGAAAAAAGTTCAAAATTATGGATGTATCCACAAAAGACGTGGGAACCTCCGTCGATAATCTGAATAGATGAAAAGCAGAAATGTAAACTCGGTGGACCCTGAACCAAGGTTATTGGTACTGATTTTCACAGTGATTGAGTTCCTATCGAAGCTCTCGTTCATGAAATTCTTTAACTAGTTGTGCTACACGAATATCACTTCTTGTTTCATTTGGTATGATATTCGAAACCTCACCGTATAGTTTACTGAAGGAACACTATTCACAACTTTACTGAAAAATGTCAGAAGTCTGCACCGCACTTTCCATCTTCAACCAAATCATACAGTTGTAGTTCCCGAGTTTCAGTCAAATTTACGGGATATAGTTGAAGCCAACTTTTACAAAATTCACAAAATGTACTCGTTTGCAAACCAGTTTGGTTTTGACAAGAGACACAACTGAATGTTACGTTTATGTTATTCTTCAACAGACTGGATTCAAGTGATACGTAAAGATGGCTTTTATTCAAGATCGAAGCTTGCCTGATGAGCCTCAATTAGGGAAAATGGGTCTTGGAATGTCTAACAAATTTTGGGAACTTTACGAGTAGTGTGTTATGGCTGAACTAAAAGTTGTCTGTGAATTTAAACAATGGAGCATAAGAACAATGCCAAATAATGGAGTTACTTCTAGAAATTTAATAAAAATGGTTTGTCCTGTTCCAGTCTTAACATTTGTCCCGAACCAGAATATGATTAGCTTTTCAAAAATTTCCATAGTGTATTGCGAAATGTATAAGGGCGAAATATTATTCCCAAGTTTCTAGGTTACTGCTTCTGCCTTATCAAAATGTGCGACTGACGTTGCACATCCCAACAAGCCTCATCAGATGCTCCAACCCGAAAAATATCCCGCAGGCAACCAGACTAAGTATGTAGGCAACATTCTACGGATGACTTGGCATAGAATTTGCAGATAGTTTCCAGGCGACTTAAAGTTGTTAAGTTTCAGGGTCTATTCATATCAGCTCGCGCAAACGAGAATAAGTGAAATTTACAAACAGGAAAGATTTGCCCTGACGACAAGGTTATCGTAGTTCCACCAACACAAACTGTCCAGTTTTTTGGTTGGAACTCGGTTGTATTACGTGGAAGAATTTGCGTGAGTGACGGGAGTATGGTTTTCTGTTTTGCAGACATTTGCTGATGAGAATTTCCTCTAACGTAGATTATTTTGTTTTTAGGTTTAACGGACGTCAAAAATTGGCTAGGCTACTTTGGGTCTGAGCTCAGTTTAAAAGGTCCGCCACTGGAATGTAATATTCCTTAATCATGTATTCACATTTTGTGAAACTGAGATAAAATTCTGTATTGCTACAAGTAGACTGGGAGACACGTTTTGTAAAGACGCGCAAGCTGTTCTTTCCTTTTGTACCTGAAATCAGGTGAAACGCTGAGTTTCCTTAGTAAGTTTATCCGTGACAACTAGAAGACGTACGCTGTGATACCCTAACACTACCGTTAGTCGTGGACCAAAACCTGTGTGCTAAATATGGTAAAAACCAGACTCTTAGTAATTCGTTTGTACGGACTCAGTGTCAAGGTAACCACTAGTTATTATTCAAACAGCTGCCGCGTGATGTACGTTTACAACTTGATCTCTGACCAGCTGACAAATGGCTCGACGATATACTACTCACCTATTTCGGAATATTTTGTTAACAGTACGAACAGATATAGGACTTCAGTTGAGATGCAGTTGACCAATACCGAAAAGCCGAGAAGTACTGCAGAGGTGTTTTTTCTTCATCTAGGACCGGAATCCTTTCATATCACAGAAAACCTGCAAGGTGATTTAGTACTTAGTCACGAACGTCCAAGCATCGGTATGGCTAAATGGCACTTCAACGGGCTATAGCATCTCGCATTCTTCAGTTGCAAAATTTACACCACTTGGTTGCGTGGTGTCTGACTGTGTGGCCTAGATGGACTTCAGTCACTGGGGAATATATCGGCTGGACATCATGATATACCCAGAACCATGCCTTGTTCCATCAACGTCAGCTTCCTCAAGGCTGGACAAGGACTTCCAAACCACACCAGAAGTAGAGAAGAAGCTCCCTAGCTTTGTTTACTTAAAGGTCCTGAAATCTTGTGTTTATTATTTTCTATCAAACATTAAAGATGGAGTGTTTGCGTACTAGTTAGATTATAAGCGCCCCTACAAGACCCTCGTTGAAATAAACACTCTAGGAGTAACTAGTTTTCTTTGTCGAGTCAATTTTTTGTTCAAGCCTTCTCCATTACTGAATGATCGCAAGGGGAATAAAAAATGGAATTTGTTTATCGAAATGAGCGACCAATCCCCTAACTAGAAATATTAATAAGGAAGTACCGGTACGCCAGGCAACTCTTCATTGGCCTTTGTTGCAAGAATCCAAAAACGATGCACTCCCGATTGTTTTAAGATAGATAATCTCTAGTTAAGTCGCGGTTAAAATTTCTAAGGAGATGGGCATTAAGCTTAAATGCCGTCACGAGCATAGTTAGGAATAGACTTGGCCCCTGGATTCTAAGATAATGGGTCCATGGATGAGTGTCCAAAATCTCCATTGAGCCTAAGTGTCCAGTCATGTAGAACATAAATATGAGCATTAGCTTCGCAGGCGAAACTAAGAATATTGTCGACATAGTGGCGATTTAGTGTAAAGCTTGCAGTATCAACACCTACTTTGCACTTCGACTGAAGCTACCAATACGCCACCAAGTTTGCTGTCTAAAGGATAGCCGATGGTGAGTGTTCTACGTGCGAGCCCATTTCGCAATAAATGTTGTAATGTTCCTCCTCCAACGCATCTTTTTCAGGATGCCTTATTCTAAACAACGAGTTGTACTATTCCCAAAAACATTTCCTTGCTGCTACAGAAAACAATTATAGCTCGTACACTATCATCATTCGGATTGGATTTGGCTGCCGACAGGATTGTATATATGGTTGAAACTCCGAGGGTTCCATTGCGGAGAACTTCACTGACTGCCACCAACATACGGAAGACCTGTCTGTTGAATCCAAGAAGGGTGACATTGGTAGTAGGCTAACGGAGAGTTTTCAGCAACCTTATGGTTAGTGAGTAATGTCGCGAAGACATATTGCAGCGTGTAGAATATTGTGCTAACTGAATTATGAGATGGTCCATATGAAGCATATTTAGTTGTAGGACGTCCTAAACAAGATATTCAGTTGGGTCTCACGTGGACATCGATGCGTGTTGCAAATCAAGTTACATCTGGTTGGTTTGCACGGCATCTCATGCCCCGTCTGGGGTGATGGCTGCCGAATTGGCTACCGAATCATTTCGGAGTCAGCTTTGGAGTAAAATTCTGTAGTTAAACTAATGATGATACGAGGATCGTGATAGAGAGGACCGTTAGGGAGGTCTCCATACTGGATTGGTAAATTCAAGCAACAAGAGTGCCTGACTACTTTTATACATTCTCCACCACAATACCTGTCCACTTCGCTTCTATTAGGCTATTAGAACCAAACCGTAGCGTTTTGTTTCGCATACAAGTTGATGTTCTCTCAAGATATTTGGTAAAAGCTGCAAAACTACAGTTAAACCTCCGTTGCTCTCAAGAGAAATCACATTTGGGATAAGTTTTACAATTTCAGGAGAGATTATTTTTTAAATTTTGTTCTTTTTTGCAGAAGCTTAAAGTTAAGGTTTCATGCATCAAATGGCATTCGTGTATATCCTCCACCTGCGTGAGATAGAGCACTAAACCTGGTGCCATCCCGAACATACCACTTATTCCCACCTTCAGTAATGAAATCCGAGACATTTCGTTTACGTTTCATTCGTTTCGTATGTGCACACAATTTTATCTCCTCACATTTAAGCCCCACCTGGAGATCCTGAGATAATCGACTGGTCACGAAGCTCAGATCAATCGAATATCTTCGTTGAGGGTGCACAGTTTGAAGCAACATGCCGCGCCGATCCCGCAGGTAATCCTCCCGGTGAATTGTTCTGGAGGTGGGAACGTCCTCGACAACCTTTGGAAACCTCCGTAGATTCGAGATTACCCAAAGTGACCTTGGATATTGTTGCGCAAATAGTAAGTGCAGTCCCGCCGGAACACGTGGTTCACCAGTATTCTGAGGGAAAATTGTTGAGCAAAGTGCGAATACCTCTACTGAAGTCAGAGTATCATGGTCTGGATCTTGTGTGCGCCGTCAAACATCAAGTTGGCCCTGAAAAATCTGCTCGTATTCCAATCCTTGTCAGATGTAAGTGAATCAATTCCAACTAGATCGTTTGTAATCAGCACTTGTATTTCAAGCTAGCAATTTCATATCACATTAGGGAACTCGATCGTTAACACTCGTGTTTGTTTCAATACAAAAAAGTTCAAATGAAATATGCGTTTTAAATTAATGCTGCTACTTGTCTCTAGATTTGCATAAAACTCTTTTGCATCAATCAAACGGCCCGAAACGTGACGTCAGGTGTCAAATCGGGCGTTTGTGTCGAACAAGAATGCTGAACCGATTGTCAACCATTAATCATTTTCACACAGGCAGTTCAGAACGGAAGTATAAGTAGGCTAGGATGAAGTAGTCGGGTAAGTTCGGGAAGCGATTTATCGTTCTCTAATTTTGTACACTGTCTCACCGAGTGGGGATGGGTTTGTTTATTGTGTTCAGACTGCCCGTCCGTACGAGTGTTTGTGAACACCTAAGTGGATGAGAGTTCGCAAGCCTGCTAATCAATAACGACTCTCAAGTTCATTATGTTGTATAAGAACGTTTACTGAATCCCAGCACTGCCATGGACACAATTATGTATATATGTATATATATATAATCATTGTAGGACATTCAGTACTCCCAGTAACAACGGTGCGCGAGTGGCGGAAGACCCTTGGGCGCCTCAGTCGACTGTTTCGCCTAAGAGTTTCTTCAGATAAGCCTATTCGGGTATTGAAACGCGACCATGCTGCAGAACATTTGTGCAAGATCATCTGCGATAATTTTGAGCTCGTCCCGCATAGAGTTTCCCTTTGAGGATAGCACTTCAGGGTGATTAAACATTTGTTTATGTCGAGTCTTTTGATGACCCAATCAGCGTGATTGTTCATCCGTTTGGCACGGTCACGACGCGCATACCTTCGTGTAGACAAAACAATTCGAAACAACGTGAAAGAAAGTTAAATAGTTCCTCGGCTCTTGGGTTACTGCCAGGGTTGAAGAATTCTCTACAATCATTGTCCACATACGCCACACAAGCTTCCGTTTGGTCTCGAAAGAAACTGTTTTTTGAAGATGAACAACATCGAAATATCTCCACATACTTGACACCTACGAGTGTAGTCATTGCGCGTTTCGTGCTTAAAGGGAGAAAGTCGCAAACATGCTTCAAGCCACTTGGATGATGGAGGCCGCCCAATGAGCAAGGCGGTATGCGGGGCTCGTTAAGTGTCAACCGCAGTCTCCAGCATAGCTCAGTTGCTCACAGAGCCGCACAAGCCCTTGCACCGCAGCTGGGTCCGGCGTCTTCGCGACAGTTGACTGGTGCAGTACCAGATAGGAAAATGCTGTGGGGCTACACAATGAGAGAGCCCAATGACCTTGCTTTAATCGATCAGTCGAAACATATGGATACATGTATCAGCCGGCGATTCAGAACTGTCTGGTTTTACATGGTCAAAAAGTAAACTTACGCAACCGATAGAATGTGTTCCAGTGGCTGTAGGAACGTGAAAACCCATTTCCCGTGAACACTTTTGATGAACGACCTATACGCTTTGTTGGTGTGCAGTGTATCTTGAACAGAGTGGTGTACTCCGGAGAAAAATTGCCTCAACATGGCGTACAAATGGTGTGAATTTCTGAAAATGACTTTCACAGAAAGCAGAACTACTGCGTTGGCGCAGTAGTTCTTGACCGGTGTCCGGTTCAGCACGCAGGCTGCTGAGAATCGCTTTGTAAGCTTTGTGAAAACAACCGACTGAACGTGGAAACGAAACAAACTCCAAGTTTGACATAAACGCGTTCTTTCATGACTTCAGAACTGTTCGACGGTCCATGATCCGTTTCGCACATTTTGAAACTAATCAGAGAGGCACAATTCACGGTTTTCTTCAAATTCTCGCCCCAGTTGAACTCAGTCAGTTAAAGAATATTTTAGAATGGCATTTTAGTCGGAATTTAGCTGTTTTCTTTGAAACCGAATCGATGAGCAAGCAAGCATATTCCACTGATTTCATGCCATTCAGTTTCACGTAGCGCGTACGATTGATGAGCCTCAAGAAGGCCAAAACCGGTCTTCAACTGTCAACAAGTCTTCAACAACCTTATTGCGCCAAAACTCTAAGTTGTGTCAAGGTGAGCATTAAAATGTTATTTAAAATACTGGGATTTGTGTGAACCAGGGGGATAAACTACACTAGCGAATGGTTCTTTCGAACAAAGATGCAAATAACGTTGATGGGTTCAACCTCAATTTTATGAGATCTTTCTTTTTAGAATGTAGTTCAACTGATAAACGCAAATCCTAGAAGGAAGGCTCCTAGGTGATAATGAATCGCTTAGATTAATAACAATATAAGAACCTGTAATCTTAGAAAACTGTGATTTTTGTCTTGTATCATGGCAACAGCACTGTCCACGTGAACACATGTACAAACTTCGATTCAGTGCATTGGGCCTGAATACAGCCTACACAGGTGATTTTGGGCAAAACGGTACAGACTCGGCATAAAACCCAGATCTGCGGAGAAAAAACACTTTGTTTCATAAAAAAATTCACGTAATGAAGTTTAACTGTAGGATATGCGGCCCAAATTAACACCCAACGAGAGTTGCTGACCCAACTCTCTTTGGGGATTGCTGGAGCAGACATGATACAAGAAATTTCGCGAGAGGTGAGCAGAAGGAACCGAGTCGGAAAGTACCAGGGTTAGATGTTCAAAAAGTGTAAAGTGAATGCAAGTAAAGACCAGCTGATGTTGTTTTGAGAGTTGATTAATACAAGTTTGAGATAAATGGGGTCTAGCTCGCAAAATGCTAGGTCCAAAATGTAGTCGCGATCACCTATCTTGGTACTGTCTGGTGTATGAAAACGGGTTGAGGAAGCTGGGCTATCTTGCACATGGTTAAGGAACGAAAGACGTAGTACAAAAATGTTGGGGTGGAATTCAGAGTTCTGAAGCGGCAACCTCTGAAAACATTTAGTCTAATCGAAAGCTGGAATACAAATGTACAAACGCTTCTTTTGCCTAACAGGAAAAAATCAACGATTTTTCGTCTCCTTATACAGTATGTGGACAGCCCTCCTGGCGATTGACTTATCTATAGATTTGTCAATCACAGCCAGGTAAATGTTGTGTGTACAGTAGTAGGCTTCGCGAGTGCACGTAAAGGAGCAAAAACTCGTCGGCGTCCCAATAAGTGGCAGTGGCAAATGATTAGAAATACCAGCTTATATGATGTGAGGAAAAGAGGAATGCGTTGGCTGAAAAAAAAACACGAACAAATACGCGTCATTCTTTTATATGGGAAATCACTGAAGGACTGACCAACCGAGAAATGACCCGCAAGAATCATCAACAGAAGACAGCACAAAAGAATGCACCCAGTGTATATACGACGAGGTGACACCGTACGTTTTTGTAGGGAAGGAATGAGAAAGTTTGATACAGCTATAGACTTTACAACGAAATCACATTTTGGAGTTTTTGCGGGATTGGTATTTTATTCATAACCACACCACTCTCGTTTGGACGGTCGTCCTCCTGTTCTGGAGTAATTAGTCCGGTGAGTTCACACCAAAGGGAGGCACTGGACTCGAGTTCCGCTCTTATTAGAGCTCATCAGCAGTGTATATCCAGTGGTCGTGCCGGGATTTGAACCCCGGATATCTGACCTGCAAGGCGAGCGTTTATGCGAGCGGGCTGTGACTATGAACGAAATACCTATCTTGAAAAACTCCAAAACTGCAACAAAAAGGTTGCCCAGTGGGTTTGAAGCGTGCGTCACGCTACCTCGCTGAGAAAACCTGACTGGCGTGTCAATCGATCGTCACAGCCAGGACAGTTACTAGGTCGTCGTTTGATGAGTCGGGCACACCAATCATATCACTCAAATGTGAACACGTTCGTTTGTTCAGACGTGATAATTCAGATGCGTCCAACGTGCGCTGGTGGAGTAGTGGTTGCCCGCTCGCCTCGCATGTCAGATGTCCGGCGTTCGATTCCCGGCACGGCCATTGGATATGCACCGCTAGTGAGCTCTAATAGGATCGAAACTCGAGTCCAGTGTTTCCCTTTGGTGTGGACTCACCGGAATAATTACGCCACAACAGGAGGACGAAATCACATTTCTTTATTCCCAAACAGATGCCGTTTGTTCGATCAAGATTTGTGTGACTTAGTGGATATGAGAAACATATGCACCTGCTATTAGAAATAACGTCTGTCTCAAGGCTTGAAGAAAGTTTTGAGAAATCAAGAGCCGCTCGTCTTCGTCGAGGTAGAAGCTGTGGCGAATGCCAACTACTGTTTTAGGAATCAGTTTGGATTAGTTCCTAAACAAAGGACAAATCGATGGTGGGGGGGGGCGGTGTTATAAACCAAAAAATTTGTTGCGATCCTGTTGGACAATAGGAACATTTTGAAAGCCAGCAGCAGTTTGCCGAAAGTGAAATTGGGTAGGGCTAATTTGTATGGGAGGGAAGATGACTGGAAAGTTGACACAGAGGCAACTTCGGATCCACAAGGCGGTCAAGTTCTGACAATCCAGCAGTGATTTAGTAGAATGCTCTTGGATCAAAACAGCCCCTTTATTTTCCAACTTCTTCATGCATAAATCTGACAGTAACCAGATTTAGTCTAACATTTATTCAGCACCGGATTCTAAATAGTCTGTTTGATGGCAAAAAATGGTAGAAAAATGAACAGTGCTTTGAAATGATTTGCTAGTTGCCTAAAATCCAAAACCTTCAGGCTAAATCAGCCCCCTTGGATAAACGTCCAAGCATAACAAAACTGGTTGTGGCTGGAGCACAGCCAGGCTCGATTAGTTGAGTCTGTCATTGTTGTACTCACACCATCCATCAGGATGTTTTTTCTCATTCATAATGGTTTTTAGGCTCACTGGTGATTGTTCAACGAAGTCCAGTTGAATTTCAGCTATCCACCACTTGCTGTCTGGTTCACTGAGTTCACTACACAACGGACAAGACCGATTCATGCAAGTAACAGCTGTGTCGAGTAGAAGGTTTCCAGTTTCTAAATGCACACATCAGCGCCTCTGAATAGATGTCGAAGCTTATTGAATCAACACACTTAGCCAATGCGTCCCCAAAAACCGTCTTAAACGGTATGGTATCAAGCGTGGAGTAGGGGTGAATAAAAGGCGTAGCTGAATTGTTACCGTTGTCTGGAAACAGGCTAAGATAGCCAGACAAGCAGTGGATAATGGAAAGTATTATGGCATCACCCGTATTTATGTAATGAAGAGAAGCCATATGACTAGAACAAACGAGACAGGATTGTTCGCTTTTCATTGGGAAATTGGGTTCCATCCTGTTAGACAAAATGATTTACCCATAGCCTGCGGAAAAAATGCTCAAATGAAATTTGGTATCATACATTTTATTGATCGAAATAAGTTCAACTTAGCTTGGTGTATGTGTATCAAATTCTAAGCTGCACTCGAGCGAGCGAGCAGCGCACCCGTGAACATCTGCATTAAAAACTGTGACGTTAACCAAGAAATTACAGCACGTTTAATGCAAACCATAAAATTAATAATCGTATCACAATTTCAGCCTAAGTGTTGAGGGAAACAAGAGAAATTTTTAGAAAGTCAGAATCCCCGTCATTCCTTCAAATACACGGCAACGTCGTGCAAATACTCGGTGAACTTATCTGGAAACTAGGTCAACCATATTTATGTGTGCCTGTTGAGCGCAACACAGGTGTAACTTGGATACTACTGATGAGGAATGTGGGTAGTATATTTCCTCGTAAACCCGTTACACGTCTATTGAAAAGTGAGATTTATTTCGGAATTTGTGGAATCACTTTGTAGCATTTCTCTGCATTGGAGTAATTGTCAATGAAGCGTCTATTGAAAGTGAGAATTAATCCCGAATTTGTGGAAACACTTTGTAGCATTTCTCTGCATTGGAGTAATTGTCAATGAAGATTTAGGAACGCTCAGAAGGACGCGTTCGAGAAGAAGATGGAAATTCACTTTTTATAAACTGAATGCATATGAGAGTTTTGTTTCCTTGTCGAATAGTCTGTAACGGTTCAGATGGTGCTTCCCAATAAATAATTCCGGAGCAAAGTCCTTCTATTCACTGGTAGCGCCACCATGATTTGTCACATAATAGAATCTCGAGAAATGATATGCCGAGCCTAGAAGTTGGCGTTCAAAACGTTGAGTTGGATGTTGTTCGAGTCAACACAGTCCTTTAAAGACATCATAATTTCGTGTAAAGAAATTCTGTTCTGTCCCACAATAACCAAATCGTTGGATGTTCACGAATTTCATTGTTGGACTCGCATAGTTCGAGTGGTGTATCCAGCTAATGTGATCACTGTACTAGTTGAGCCACATGTTTATTTCACGTAAGGCTACCTGACATTCAACAATTAGCTTTTGGTTTTGAACTCCAAATTGGAAGACTTTGAAATGACATCGATGATACGAACATAATATAAGGATTCTGATCTTGGTTGATCGATCTGGTTGTCCGTTTTAGTACTAGTGGTGGGTGATTAGGTTTCTAACATTCCGTGTCCTGTACTACCTTTTAACCAGAATACTAATAGCCTTGATGAACTAATGATGGAAACGCATCATAAAACGTCTTGTTATGATGTCTGTTTACACTGAAAAATCGACTCGAACCGTACAAATGAAGGCGTCATCGTTTTGCCTAACAGATAGAGTACGAACGAAGCAACAATCAAGCTAGGTACATTCACATTTTGCAACAGTGCCAGTCAAACATTCATTTCAAACCCAACTTAGTTGTCATCGTAAATGGATAGAAAAAAGCTGGTTTATATGACATTTGGCTTAATTTTAAAAAGCTGAATGAAACAGGATTTCAAAAGTGGATTTTGACGTAGCTGGCAAGGGTTGAACTGATCTAAAGGAGCATTTGCTCAACTGGAAGGCCACTGTTGGAGACCGAATTTAGTAACCATTCCAGCAGTGAGTTCACCACCTTGGGTGAAGAGACTTGTGATGCAGAATAACGGTAGTTCAGCTCTCTTACGATCCTCATTAGGAGAATTATATTCACTCGTTTCCACTGATAAATCCTTTTCAAATCTGTTAACAGGAGGGCTGTTAGGTAACTCTTTCCATATTTTCTAGGTTTGTGAGTATCAAATCTTAGTCACCGTTGATTCCCATTGAGCACAAAAGCATGCCGTGTGGCGCGTATCATCACCGATATTGATCGCTACTCAAATATGGTGACAAAGGTCACTCTCACAAACATATGATGTCCTTACTCTGAATTTTCACTGTTGCAACTTTTAGGACAATGAATGGTTCAGAAAGCGTTGTTGAAAAAAATCTGGCAAAATACCATGAAGATTACGGAGACGTTTGTGATTAGCTGTTATCCAAATCGTAGGAGGGATATTTTACGCATTCGAAGATGAAAGTAAGACAGAGATGAGATTTTCAATGAGATGCCGTTAGCGCACAGAATACCGTGTAAAAGAATATGCAGGGATCGATTATTTGTAGTCCACGATCTTTTAAGAAACGATTTGTTTGCTAACTCCTCACGATGTCCGCTAAATTCCAATATGTTTTCACTATTCTCGAGTGAAAATGGAGTGTATTACTCAAAAAAACCTCTGTAACACTTCATACTGAAAAGCGGAATACATGCTTGTATTGATTGGGGCTATACATTCAAAGGAATAGCCCTGCACGTTCGTCAAAAGCAATTACACTGGAGATAACGAATCACAGGTATATACTGCATATATATACTGCAGGTATAAATATATACATATATATGTATATATATGCTGCAGGCTATACTATTAAGGCAGACATGCATCGTATACACTGGGCTAAAATTCCCAAGCGTATTTGCTACCCGATTGGAATGCTAAGTTCCGCCTGGTAATAAAAAAATACGAATCATTTGTTCAACAAGCTATGAGAAAAATTACGGAAGAAAAACCAGTGAGCAGACCAATTCGAAGGAAAAATCCGATTGATAACAGCCTACCTTTGGCGTAACATTCGAAGAATAAGAAAAACGCTTTTTGTTTTAATGCAAGACTGATTCGGTACTAATTAATGAATTTCAAACTGAATATCTCCCGCGTCACTGGTGTGTTACCTACGCTAGAACACTATACTCACCAGATTTATATATGCAGTTTTTCACCTAGCTTATTTTACTTTGGGGGCTCTACCCCTACTGATCTAGTTGACACAAGAATCTTTTTTCCAGTGTTGGATGAAACCAGAAGGTCAGAAAACATTTTTATGAGATCATTTCATTCAACCAACTCGCCTTACATGTGGATATACAGGACTGTTAGTTAAGAGGAGTTTGAGGTTCATTAAACTCGTGGCTTTCAGTCACGCCGAACCAGACTATGACTAGCTGTCGACTTATTTCAGCAGACATTTCAGCGGTCAGAATGCTTTATCTTGATTGCTTACGATCCTCAGGGAGGATCCAATAATCACTATGCAGCAGAGTTGTATTTACACGGCAACTGTGTAGTCGAAACCCGAAACGAACGCCACAAGAACGCTTTTATGGGGACACCTAGTCAGCTCTGAGACATCACGTCCGCCATCGTTCTAAACAAGTCACCAGAATCTCACCGGTGGGACCAATCAGGTTAGATCAGATTAACTGAATAAGTCAACGGTGGAATCAAAACGACTTCCACACCCACGCGAAAAACTCATATTAACTGTTTAACAAGCCGCGAAAGCGGTGGTGGTATCATCATCTGTTTGCCAAAGCCGTGGTAACATCAAAATATGGTAACTTAGTAATACAGTAAGACAAGGTATCAACTTTATATTTTCATATTTATGGTTATAAAGCAGAAAAATTAAATACTACCACTGACAGTACCAGCCCTATGTGAATATCAAATACTATTCCAACTCAAATTTTCCAATTTGTGTCTCTCAGATGGACCAGAATCGGTTTATATTCACGGCCCGGAGGAGACAACGGATATCCTGAAACAGACACCTAAATTCGGGACAAATATGACCAGCTTTGAGGTCAAAACGCTCGACCTACACAACCGATTGACCTATGTCTATCTAGATAGGCCACAATATCTCCTCTGTATGACTGGGACTTACTACGACCAAGCCGTGATCCAGTGGTTTGGATTGTCAAATCGCTCAGGGGAATGGCGGGAGATTCAACCGTTGGAAACTTTCTCTCGGAAAACTGCAAATGCGTCAAACAGGTTCATCATGTTCTCCATTGTTAAACTGGTGTCTACCAATGTTGAACGCCCGGCTTTCGAGTGGGTAGGAATCAAATGCAAAGCTGGCCAAACTCCAGGACAGTTCACAGTGGAGAATCAAACAGTACTGCGAATTTACGGTGCGTTACTTATGTTAAATTTTTCGAGTATGAACTGCGCTTCAAAACAGATTGATTAACTGCACTGGCCCAATATCTTCCGGCTTATAAATACATATGTACAGGTCGTATCATCATGTGACATCAACCGTTACCTCGATTCGTTCCGTGGTTGATTTTTCTAGTTACCTAGCAGTGTGGTCAATTAACCTAAAAGGTATGAAGGTTCCCCAGTTAGGGAACAGTTACGGGGTCTGATGAATTCGGTTCTTTCTGTGGAATGTACTCATTCGGTGCAGCAATAAAAAGCATCCCAAATGGCTTTTACAAGGTAGATGCCATCGAGTTAAATAGTCGGTCAATGGTTAACTTGATTATTTATGCTCTTTTCTACAGAGGAGAATGTCGGTAGCTCAGGTAGCGTAGATGGTCGTTTGCTTTTTCACTGAGCTGGGCAATTTAGTTGCAACAAAATTGCCCAGCTCAGCGAACAAGCCAATGACCGTTTATGCTCTTTGTTTCTTCACTTGAGCTAGTTTGATGTTTGAATGCCATGAACGATACAAAAGTTTTTTATGCGGTTGACGACAAAAGCTGATTCCATCGACTAACTCATCGCATTCAGATCTTTTTGGTCTGATATGCACCATTCGGAATTATCTTTATCTGCCTTGTACATCACCCAGTCGACAAGATGTATGCCACGATCTGAAGAAGAATACTGTCAAATAACGTGGGGTGACAGGACAACAAAAGATACATCGGTCTGTGAATTCATTCTGTAACGGAACTAAATCTGCGTAGAAAAGTAAGGAAGAAGTGGCTCTATACTGCAACCATCAATTTCCTCATTTTTCATTCTGGTCAACTTTCAAATAAGCTTATAAGGGGGTTTGTAAGTGAGTGCAAATTTTCAAAGTCATGATTAGAATGTTGCGAAATTGATGGTGTTTCGCTAGCTTACAAATAAGTAGGGAATTCAAACCAAATCTGAGTGAAATCTCGCTGGTGGATGAAAACAGATCTGTGACATGAATGTATCGTTTTAGCAATCTAGTCCGGTAGCCAGAAAAGGAACCCTATTAAGAACGACATTAATTGAGCAATAGGCGCGTTTAGACTCGCTGATCAATATTTTATAGGAGTTAGTGGAAACAATCCTGCATCCAAGAGACAGTTCACTGAACCAAAGGGGTGCGTCTGGAACAAGCGTTTTAAACAGGCCACGGCGATTCCCTACCTAATTGGAGAGCCACCGAATGTTCGCGCGAGCCGGTTCAATCTGCTCTATGTATCTAGAGGCCTCTACTACAAATGACTAAAGTCACACAACGCATTTCCAAACAGCTAGTCAGGCTTCCATACCACCTTGGGAACCCGAAGCGTACAACAAATCGTGTACGATGGACCGTTGGTTTATACTACGGTTGTCAAGCTGGTGGATGTGATCTAAGCAGAGTTTTCAAGCAGCCACGAATTGATCCACCATATTGTTACGTAGATCACAATATAGTCTCAGAGGATGTTTCGGACTTTATGTTCATGGGGAACCCATATGCTTGAGTATTCCCTCGGTTTCAAAACAACAAGGGGGTTAGAGTTCCTGAAAGCTTTTTCCCACATGAGCATCGAAATTTCCCTCCGACTAGCCAGGAGTTTTCTCAAACATGAGGATTACTCCACAGTCGAATAAACGGACAAATTATTCCCTGTAGAATATCCCTTCGTATGGATCAATGTGGCCACTTGGACACCAAAAGGCTTTGTCTAAATGCTGATTAAAATTCAGTAGAGATATTGGATCATAAACATACTTCTTTTCCCCAACTATATCTATTTCATCACTTCATTCGACAGACCTCACGGTCTGTTGCAGTACGTGGAGTTCATATGAGCTGTCATTAGTAACAAAAGCAAGCCTAGCGCTAGGAAGTTTCGGCCCACTAGAATTTAGCACAAATTTAATTCCAGGCCAAGTGGTTCCTCAAATAAAGTAGGTCCAGTTAGAGAGTGCGGTTGCACCGAATGTACCAAAATAGTTTCGGTTACTTTTCCTCAAATTGTTCACCCAACTCTCACCTAAAAATGCCATACCACAAAATCACGCTGTGGTTTGGTTAACTCTGCAAGGATTCATCTGTTTATTATCGCTCGGGTATTTGGTCCCAAGAGGCAGGTGGCCATCAAACCTTCGGTCATGGATAAGAACAGACCAAGATAGGTGTAAGCGCTAATTAATTTTTGCACACAAAACAATGTCCTGTTGTAGTCATTCTTCCATTCACTAAACACACACCCAATGCTCATTATCCTAATTGTTCCACGTTCAATGAAGAATAGGCGGAATGCTAATTTGTTTGTTCACGCAAACAAAAACAAGCTGGACACGCGAGATATTTTGCGGGCGACCAGCCGATACCTATTTATGTGGGTGAGTGGAGAAACGCGGGAGAAAATTTGTTCAACTAGGCTTGGGTGAAGAGGGAAAACAGTGCATTCATAATCTAGCTTTTCGATACTTTCTTAGCTCGTTCGAAACACGTATTTAACAGGCTCGTGTGTTTGCTACCACTACAACAAGGAATAGCAAAGTTCACCCACTGAACCGTTTGACAGATGGCTACCAGCAAGGAGGCCAGCTACAGACAATTTGAGAAATGATGTTGTGGGAACAGGGAAGCGACCTTGAATTTTACAAGCTTCCATAATATATAAAAACTTATGATAGTTCGAAAATCCCTGTTTAAATCTCACACAGGGCATTCGAAGTTTGCTAATTTTTTTGGGCACCCTTAATGTACGTTGTCTTGTTACTACCAACTTGATGCTGCTCCGACGAATCAAGTTCATACTCTTACACAGCCCCACATTTTTGGACCAACTTCTTGGTATGCGCAGATTTACTTGACCAATCCGTGAGGACTGACCCTGAGCGATCAGTCACTAATTGTTCAGGGTAAAAGTGTGGCTTTTATGTGGCTGCAAGCCAAAGGAAATTCCCAGTCCTTCTTTTTTGATGAATAACCACAAAGCTGTCGTAGTGTTTATCTTAATTTGAATACACAATTTTTGTATCGATTGTAGTTTGAAGGGATTGTCCAAGTAAATTTGGTGATACTGCGGTTACAAAGTCATCTATTTTTAAAAAATTAACTTGATATTGATGCATTCAAAATAAATGTCAGACAAAATCCTTCAATATAATGTTTTCTTATGAAATATGTCAAAACGTTCCGTCTCATGTTTGATCATTGTGTTACCTGTCCTGCCCCAAGAAACCGGCTGCGGGTTGACGAAGAATCCTCATCAAGATTTTGAGTAATAGTGAGCCGAGAACTGATAAAGCTATTCGACTTATTGACGATGAAATATGTCAAAAAGTTCCGTCTCATGTTTGACCAATGGGGTACCTGTCCTGCCCCAAGAAACTGGCTGCGGGTTGACCAAGATTCCTCATCAAGATTTTGAGTAATACTGAGTTGAGAACTGATAAAGCTATTCGACTTATTGACAAATGAGAAAGACTTTGATAGAGGATGTGGTGAGATGTCTTCCAAACACGGAGTGCTCTACCACTCGTCTCATTTGTACTACAAAATTAGTTCAGAAAATAATTAATGCCCTGGTGCAAGCTAAGGCGTTTCAAACAGCGTTCTAATAATCACCCCAGTCAGTAACTTCCTATCTCCCAAAATCAATGCATTTAGTATGGAGCTGTGCTGTGATTCATCATCTTATCTTATTATGCATGGTTGTGGGTGGTCTTATTGGACGGTCACCCTGGTTAACTTACCTATTCAGCCGAACAACTAACTATAATTTATTATCGCTCACAATTATCAACCCATTGCTGTCAATGAACACACCCTACTGGTAACTCCAACCATCGAGTTTTAGTTTGGCAGCAAGTATCTACATTTTAGACCTCCAGTACATCTGCCAAACACAGTCCTTCTTGCGAGATACTCGGAAAGAACCGAACTTCTACAAGCGTGGCCAGTTTAAAGAACGAAATTATGTTGGCTAGCTATTTAATTTTCTTGCATCCTGATTCATTCCCGTACTGTGTCTTTAGGTACACTTTATGGCTAAATTTACCCCCTCCTGAGTCGGTAGGCTCTTCTCATCTCCTGACCACATAAACCTGAACTTATATAATTCATTAACTTGAAGGATCGAGCATTTATTCAACCACGTACAGAAGAAAACCGACAATCCCAGTTGCTTTCGTGTTAAAACGATACTAGGAGACAGAATTTCTCAAGATATTTAGAGTAGTTGGAAACAGAAGTCAATCAGCGGTTGATTCTAAAGCGAATAACTTCACTTTCTAGTTCGACTGAAGAGAGTCTTCTATGAGGTCACTTTCAAATGTCGCCCCCAGCTAATTTCGTTTGCCCCGATAAGGTGTAAAACCTCCACAAAAAAGTGGATAAAGCGGAGGAGATTCCTATTCTCTTCCTTATATTGCACCACTCTACGGAAGTCGTTTCAGTCTCGTTTGCCCAATTTTCGGTTTGTGCACCGTTTTCGAGAAAACATACTCGAACGTGGGAGCTTAGTCCGCATGACCCTTGCTTAATAGATGAATTTGAACGATAACGAGTAGATCATCTCAAGATTTTACTAAACATTGTACCAAAGTGGTGTACGAGTGTAATCGGGATACACAGAACCTGCTTGACACAGAACGCCAAAATTCTACCCGGCACCCTTCATGCAAAGTGGAAACATTTAACAATAATAATGCATATAGATAACATACTGATGAAATTTAGCAACACTGATTTTCTGATAGCAAATTCGATAAATGCTGCATAATCTGAACCAACCGAACCCACGCCACAATCACTATCAGCGGGAAACCTACCCTCCGTTCAAGAAACGTTTGGACTTTTCGCGTTGCAGCTTTCCTCGTTTTCGTGTTTACACATGTCACGACCCCCAACAAACTGCTGTTTTATTGATGGTTTACTTCGGGATGTAATTCATCAACTTCTCTCCCATTGAAATAGACAAAAAGTATCCGATTTTGTATGGAATTAGAACAGAATGCCCGCAACGGCGTGTGCATCAGATTCTGGATGTTATTTAACCAACTATGTCACCTCGTAAGCTAACAAAACTTGTTTTCTCTAATACTCTTAAAGGTAAGAAACTTTAATTTTGCCATCCGAAACTGAGATAAACCTCATTCTTATGGTCTCTTATTTAAAAATATGTGGCAACTTGCGTCTTTTTTCTTGTAACTACACTTCACTCCCGTCTTTATTCTAAACTGAGATGAGGATATTATATTGGCTTTTTGATTTAATGTGAGTGCTTTAGCCTTATCCTTGTTGGCTTCGTTGCTTTCAAGCATTTCAAGATTACGTTGCTTCAATTTATCCAATTTTGCTTATCATGTGAGCAGTAATTGTCCAAAAGTTACTTAGAAATTCTGTAGGATTTTACTTTCCGTTTGGTGTTATAGCATCAACCGAATTTGTTGCCCCTACTAAGGTAGTACTCGAGAGTTGATGTTTTGGAGTGTAACAATGGCTTTTTTCGGTGGGGGGGGGGACAGAATAGGAATAAACAATATTTCTTCGAGAGCCTAACTCCCTACCTATCCATGTGCTGACTCTCCGTAGATGTCATGTCAGGCATAATAGCTCGAATGAACTGTAAGCCCACTAGAAATTAATCCTATCCGTTCAGCTGACGATTGTCAAATGTGAGAACAAGTTCAAAGAGTGAAATATCTTGAAACCGGAGAATAAGGTAAGAAATAACCGTCGTTGTTGTGGCATCAGCTTTGACTCGGTGGCAAGAATCGATTTATTAAACAGAACACGTAAGTCGTTGAATTCTTAAAGTTCATCGGACAAAATAGCGAAACTGGGCAACTTTTCAGTGTATCAACTGATTCTGTGAGGGAATTAAATTAAGTTCAACATTCCTGATGTAGCTCTCTTTTGATCGTTGAAATAAATGCGGATAAATCCATTCGCCTCACAGGTCGAATTCCCAGCTAACTGGGCATTTTGATTTCTTCATTCTTCATTCTATGAGCTACATAAGTTCATCTAGTTCTTCAAACTCGTTTGAAGTTGAAACGTTGAGTAACATGAAGTAATCTATTTGGCCAAGGTGAGAAGAACGTATGCGTTTCTACAAATGTGTCTTTTGANCTTGAAGGATCGAGCATTTATTCAACCACATACAGCAGAGAACCGACAATCCCAGTTGCCTTCGTGTTGAAACAATGTTAGCAGACAGAATTTCTCAAGAGTAGTTGGAAATAGAAGTCAATCAATTGTTGATTCTAAAGTGAATAACTTCACTTTCTGATTCGGTTGAAGAGAGTTTTCTATGAGGTCACTTTCAAATGTCGCTCACAGCTAATTTTGTTTGCCCCGATAAGGTGTAAAACCTCCACAAAGAAAGTGGATAAAGCGAAGGAGATTCCTATTCTCATCCTTCGATTGCACAACTCTACGGAAGTCGTTTCAATCTCGTTTGCCCAATTTCCGCTTTGTGCACCGTTTTCGAGAAAACGTACTCGAACGTGGGAGCTTAGTCCGCATGACCCTTGCTTAATAGATGACTTTGAACGATAACGAGTAGATCATCTCAAGATTTTACTAAACGTTGTACCAAAGTGGTGTACGAGTGTAATCGGGATACACAGAACCTGCTTGACACAGAACGCCAAAATTCTACCCGGCACCCTTCACGAAAAGTGGAAACAAATGACAATAATAATGCACTTTGATAAGATACTGAGGAAATTTAGCGACAGTGATTTTCTGATAGCAAATCTGATAAATGCTGCATAGTCTGAACCACCCGAACCCACACCACAATTACTATCAGCGAAAAACCTACCCACCGTTCAAGAACCTCTGGGACTTTTCGGGTTGCAGCTTTCCTCATTTTCGTGTTTACACATGTCACGACCCCTAACAAACTGCTGTTTTATTGAAGGTTTATTTCGGGATGTAATCCATCAACTTCTCTCCCACTGAAATAAACAAAAAGTCCGATTTTATTTGGAATTGGAACAAAATGCCCGCAACGGCGTGCACATCAGATTCTGGATGTTATTTGACCAAATATCTCGTAAGCTAAGCTAACAAAACTTGTTTTCTCTATTACCCTTAAAGATAAGAAACTTCAATTTTGCCATCTTATGGTCTCTTATTTCTCTTGTAACTACACTCCCCTCCCGTCTTTTTTTCTAAATTGAGATGAGGATACTATATTTGCTTTTTGATTTAGTGTGATTGCTTTAGCCTCATCCTCGCCGACTTTATTGCTTTCAAGTACTTTAAGATTACGTCGCTTCGTTTTGTCCGCTGTTGTTTATCCTGTGCACAGTAATTGCCCAAAAGTCATTCAAAAAGCCCGCAGGATTTCACTTCCTGCCTGATGTTGTAGCAACGATCGAATTTGTTGGCTTTAATGAGGTAGTGCTGAGGGTTAGTATTTTGGAGTGTGACACTGGCTGGGGGCAGACTGAATACGGACGAACAACATTTTGTTCATAGTCACACCACTGTCGTTTGAACGGTCGTCCTCCTGTCCCGGCGTCATTATTTCGGTGAGTCCACACCAAAGGGAAGCATTGGACTCGAGTTTCGCTCTTATTAGAGCTCATCAGCAATGCATATCCAATGGC